ATTTTATTTTATTTTATTTTATTTTATTTTTTATTTATTTATTTATTTTTGAATGAGCTGAACAGATTTGAAAGAACAGAGAGAATCGCTGTCAATTAGGGAGTTTGTTTTAGAAAATGTGGTAAATGCATCTTCACAGGAAGTGCTGTGTGAATGTCGAGCACCTAATGACTTTGACGAAATTTGCTTTAGAAGCTGGAACTGAGTAGTTAAAGCTGAATTCTGGCTAAAAGTGACAAACACTAACTAACAAACAAATGTAGCATAATGCTAGCTAAAAGTAGCAGAAAAGAAGGCTAGCTAAAAGTTAAAAGCAGTAAAGTGCTTGCTAGAAGCTAGAAGAAAACAATGTTTTTGAGAGAACTGAAGCCTCAATGTATTTCTAGTAAAAATGGTTGCAAATAAAGTGAAATTTAAAGTATAAAAGTTACAAAAAAACTAATCTCCTAAATGAACTTAACAGTTTGCAAAAATAGACTGCAAAAACATTTTCGGCAAAATAAAAACAGGAAATCAATACTCAATACTAATGTTAATTATCTTAAAGCAAAGAACAGCATTTTATAAAATAAGATGCATGACAGTAAATAAAGTAATAATAAGGTCATACTGGGGTCATCTTTTCCATCAGGAAAGTAGTATTCGGTGAACTCAACATGAACAGCCGGCATCTCCGGAGGCAGGTACAGAGACTTTTTATTGCAGGAGATCATGGTCTTTGGGGTGGAGCGATGCTGGTCTGCTGTTGACACCTGAAAAACAAGAAGCCCAGAGCGTCAAAGGAAGTACAGAATATGAGCGCAAACTTTTTGTGTTCACATTTGAATGGTTGTGGACCAGTGATGTTTCTTGTAGTGACCTGGTAAATACTGAAGTCTGCCATTCTGAGAACAAACGAGCTGGACATGAGGTGGGCCTTTGGAGTTTGAGGAGGAGGCGGACTGAACGAAGTGGTGGAGGAGGTGGTGTTTATCTTACCTGGAGAGGAAAGAGGAGGCACGAAAGAATAAGAAACAAACAGAATATAGAAACATTTTAAGACAATCTGCTTATTTGGAAACTCAARAGCCTAGAAAAAGAGGTGTGCATCACCGCACCCAGCTGTGCGCACACACACGCTACACACACTGCGGTACCTGCTTCTAGGCACCAGCAGCACTGAGGAGGCTGTGTGCGTGAGCTCCCCTCTAGGAKTCCTCCATCTGCACCCCTAAGCCCTACTTCTCCTTCTGCTTTCTCCTGACTTCCTAGAGGCTCACACACATCGTCCTTAAAGGACACTGGAGGACAGAAAACCCACAGGGGATGACGTGCTGTCGGTGCCAGGAGGGACAACTGAAAAGCGTATTAGGAGTGTTTGCGTACTGTGATGTGGAGAGCTGCGTCCGGCGCCTCGGCTTGGCTGGTCTCGAGCTGCGTTCTTCAACATCTCTACGCTGGTTGTGAACTCGTCGAGCAGACTTTTCGCCCAGCTCTCTCTGGTTTTAGTGGCTTCACTGTAGTGCATCCAGTGAACACAACTGTCACCTAGAGATGGAGAGGTAGCCGTGTCGTCATGCAGTTTTTTTGACGGGAAGGGAAGTCATGAGCAGATATTCATACCTGCTCTGTGCAACGGGTAGTAGTCCAGAGTGATAGAGCTGAAGGAAAGCTGCATTGCACCACCTGTTACCCTCTTATTGGTAACTGCACAGCAACAAACAAACAAAGCCTCTTATTATCTTTGTGGTTTCAAAATGGCAATGCACATTTGGGTGTATGCTACCTTTGTCCTTAGCATGGATGTCGTCACAGATGTGCAGGTCGAGGTGTGTAATCTGCAGGTGGTGGGAGGTTTCGCACACGTCRTAAGCGCTGAACAGCTTGGCTATAGTTGCACTTTGATCGGCGGCTGTGGACGCCTGCTGGGTGCGCACCTCKTGAGCTGAAGGAGGCGGCAAAACCTGTTGGGCAAAGAYGAAATTTTTGGCACTTATGTTTGTWTGCATTAGTGCAGGTGTCTGCAGCCTGCGKCTCTGKGGCCAGATGTRGCTCTTTTGTCCGTCTCCAGTGGCTCTTTGAAAATATGACCAAACATAACAATAATTTTGAGGGGTTTGGGGGTCTGAATAATTCAGTTGTACTAGTTTTTATGAAATTTGTTATAAACTATATACAGTATTTTTCTTGTTTACATAAATCTGTTCTTTTTATTTGTCCTGATGTGTATCGTAATAAATAAGATAACAATTAATTTTTTTTACTTTTATAATGTCACCTTCACTGACTGTAAAGGTTCTCGAAAAGGCCTCGAAAAGGCCCACGGACCACCAGTTGATAATCACAGTTGTACAGCTCTGGACACATTTTATTAATGAGGCTCTTTTGATCGCAAAGGTTACAGACCCCTGCATTAGTGAATATTAGACCGACAGATGAGTGCTGCAGTGCTCAATGCTTCCAGCAGATGGCGTATTGGATCAAATCACTGAAACATACAGAACGGAGTAAGTTCACCTGGTAGAGGATAGGTGTGATTTGTGTGGGTGATGAATGTCTACATACTGGGTGGCAAAATAACAAGGGATTAGGAAATGGTGAAAGATAAGACAGAGATGACATCACCAGAAAAACAGAAGATGGAGAAATCAGCTTCTAATGAGTACAAAAACTGTCCTTTACCTGGTCRTCTGCTGCCATGCTCTTCCTCTGCTGTGCAGACTTCTCCATGGCCTCGCTGAGGGACTTTGCGTACTGCACCATCGCTTTTAACTGGGAGTCCGTCAGCACCCACAGCAGGTCGTCCAGGATAAGAATCAGCTTCGAGGCAACCACGTTGCAGTCCTTTATCTGCATCAGGAAACCCGTGTTAATAGGAAACGTGTAGGTGGGGGTAACTGATAACAAAACTTTTCAGGATCATATCTTTTGTCCAGAAACTCCTGATGCAGAGTAAATTTAATAAAATTGTTCYAGCCTAATCCACAGATACACAAATTATGTTTTTTTTAATCACAAGCAGGAAATTAAATTTTTTTTTACAAGCTAACGTCACTATGTTTGTTTTCATCTTATAAAATAATACTTTTTTAACTAAACAGCTTTTAGTGCAACACTCTTCTTCTGGCTTTTCCCTTTTCTAGGGTCGCCACCATGAGTCATCCTGCTCCACCTCAATTCACCTCCATCCATGTCCTCTCTAACTGCATCCRTTTATAAAAATCTGCAGCTCAGTTCTTGTCATTTTTCTTGCAAAGAACATTGGCTCTTTGATAAAGCAGTGCAGCCTGTGAGACCACACACAGGGATCATTGTGAGGCAGCGAACAAGAGGTTATCACTTAGAGCAGTGTGATTTTGAGCCCGCTCCATCAAAGAGCCAGTGTGTGTTCCTACTCCAGTGATTTGTGTGTGTTTCTAACCCGTCTCTTCAGAGTGACTCGGATCTTCGACTGGTTGGTGATGAGGCGGATGGGAGCGCTCAGCATCTCGTGCTCGGCGCTCTGGATAGCGTCGGCCTCGATGCGGATCATCTGCCAGCTGATTTCTTTAAACGTCAGGACCTAATTAAAAAACAACAAAAAACCTGATGAACTGAAGAGAGCAAAACCGCTAATAATAAACCCCATTTTGTTTCAAAACACGGACCTCTCCCCGCTGAGGATCCTGGATGCGAGTGAACCGCAGGTCGCTGATGCTCCAGCTGGTGTTGACGCTGTAGACCTGCAGCTGGGAGAGCTCGAAGGAGGCGTTAAAGGCCTTGGCGCTAATCTTGATGACGATGGAGTTGATGGATAGAGTAATCCCTTCCACCACCTTTTCAGCGAAACCGTACTCACTGTAGAGAAAGCAAACACGGTGCGTTAAAAACTGCTTTTCAAACGTCTAATTTTAGGAGTCAATCACCAAAACGCCACCTTTGTCCTGATGCTGTTGCTAAAGGAGACGGACCATTGGGTGGACGGGGCTCATCGCACGTGCTCATCTCCATTATCACTTTATCCAGAGTCTGAAAGAGAAATGATAGATTTAGCTTAGCATCTAGAATCCTTACCACTTTAAAACCATTTGTATTGATTCTTTAATCTGTAATCTTTGGTAATTCTTTGTAATGTTCTTTGTAATGTTTGTAATTCTTTGTAATGTTTGTAATGTTAAGTGCCTTTTTGCAACAACAAACTTGGAGCAATTCTTAGCTCTTTAAATTCCACTATTTTTGTGCAAGTGTTGACCCAATAATCCTTTTGTGTACCTGCAGAGAGTAAACTCATCTCTTTTCTTTCATTCTGTTCTATAAGAATTTAAAAGACATGCTACAGTATATAATATGCTCCTTTGTGMTCCATTCACGTTTTACTTAACCTGCTGCGATAATAACACAAAATGTTCAGGTTTAGATGAGCATTATAGATGAAGCATATGTGATTGCTGGTTGTGTGCTTCTGGGAAAACCATCTATCTAGGGACTGGGACCAGGCTGGCAGGCAGGCAGCTGTTAACCTGACACCTGTGCCTTGTTCACTGATGTAGCAGCCATGGCAAACAGAAAAAAAAGACACTAGAGCAAAACATGAAAGCTATTACAATAAAACAGATAATAGCTTTCTATGGAAAAAAAACTCTGTCTGAGAAGGTCTAAAAGAATAAAACAGACTCAAAATGAACAGCTGAATCTACAAATTAAAATATATATCAAACACTGCATTAGCAACCACTTCTGGAGATCCTTTTTAAAGACTAATCATCAATGCACCAGTTATCTGTCAATTTTTTTAAATCAACATCAAAATTATCCAGGAGTCTTTTACAGTTTCACCACCGCTACAGTCCGAGGGATGAGCCTTGAAAGCCTCACCATGTTCAACAGCTACTCTTTGGCTATTTCTAATCCATCTCCCTTGAACCAAATTCAAGAAATAAATTGTGGAATTACATTTTTTTTAAAAAACATATTCTATAAAATGGGATTCTTTCTAAAGGCCCTGTCACAAGACAACTTATGCCAACTTATGAAACATTTTTATGTCTAAATTGCTAATAAAAGTTATATATTTGATCAATATGTTCAATTACCTTATGTACACGCCAAAAAGAAGCTTCCTGTTGATTTTTTTTTTCAATTCCATCTTCATCGTAGACATCTTTAAAATGTTCATAAGTTGTCTAGCGTGACAGGGCCTTAACTTACAGACCTCAAACGTATGTTAAAAGTTTTTGATAATTTAACCAAAAAGAGTGCAAACCTACCAAAGTGATTGGGTGAGTCTTCAGTTTTGTCCATGGTATCTAACAGTGAAAAAAAAGAACAGAAACACGTTTTTCATCTCAAGTTATTTTAAACACAAACATCTAGCCTTTTAAGTGTTTAAAATTGAACCAGCAGTCATGAGAAAATAAAGATTAGGTTGCTAGAAACAAAATTAAAACAAGCAGGTAGAAGGGAAAAGTAAACATCAATCAATGTGCCTCGGCTGACAGGCAGGTCGTTCACGGAGCTGCAGACCTCCATTAATCCTCAACAAGCTTTCTAATTAAAGGCAGCATGAAATTATATAGTAAAAAATGACTGACTGCGTGTGTTCAATGCCAACTTCAATTTCCATAGAGCAACATGTTACAAATTAAGAACTGCTGTGTTTGAAACTTGGATTTAATAGACATTTTATTTCCCCGCCTGTCATAAAAACACTCGAAGGTGCCAAGAAAGGGCGCTACTTCACTTCTGTCACTCTGAGCCATCAAGGAAACTATTTACAACAACATTTAAAGCGATAAATTCCATTATAATGAATCTGAAAACTTCTGCTCAACCAGAACAACAAACAAATTACACTGACAGTATTTTAGGCTGAAGAGGATGCTCACTTCCTATGTAACAGGAAGAAAAGAGATCAAGTAAGAAAATGAGATAAAGATTTGGATTCTCAGTTTTAATCAGCTCGAGATTAAAAAACAAAAACATGATGAACTGAAGCCAGAAAGTAAAATAAGCTTTCAGTCACCAAATACCTGTCAATAAGAAATCGTATCACAATGTGATCATTACAGCAAAAGAAACCRTCAGTGACAGTAAATAAGACTTTTTCAAACCTGTATATATAACTGGAAAAAAGTAATCAAGAACATACGAAGTGCACAGTTTGCTCTGTTATTTAAAACAGGGATTAGAATCAATAACTGAAAGGAATATTGAGGAATTATGAGCAGAAAAAAAGAGGTAATGTAGTAGAAAATGAAAGGATGAGGTGGAAATGGACCTTGGTCCAAATAAAACCTGAGTCACAAAGCAAATTATACTTCAGTTTTCCAGGGTGTGTCAAAAACTGCTCTTAGAATGGAGTCTTGGCTGACAACAGCAGGCCATGAGACGGTGCCAGAGAGCAGATTTGTACAGAAAGAGTCACTGACATCGGTGACTTGTCCCCCTGTAATCTTGCATAATGTCCGAAGTGCACGAACAGCAACAAAACACTAGTTTGTAACTTTATTTACCTAAAGCCTGAAATAATACTCCATTTTAACATTATTTTAAACACAATTGAGGAAAAGTATTTTTTACAGTGCTGTGGAGTTAAAATAGTCAAGTTCAATTTTATGGAGAAGATTTCTGTCAGTTTGATATGAAAATACGGTCAGGATACAGTAGGGCTGTGTATTTGTAAGAATTTGGCGATACGATACATATCATGACAGAGGGGTCACGATACGATATATCCTGATATATTGCGATGCTGTAAGCAAGGCGATATATTGCGATATATTGCGATTTCTTTTGTCCAAAAATTCTATTAAATAAAAACCTCTTACTGGGAAAAAAATGAAAAACCAAAATTCATTGTCTCAGAAAATTCTAATATTACATAGACATACTTTTGATACATTTAGCTGTGTTCTGCTTTGTATGTATTTTATTTTATTTGTTTCATGTTTCTTATTTCATCCATCTTTTCAATTAATAGACTAAATTTGCCAATAAATAGTTTGAAAATATATTTTTTTGCAGCTTTTAGTTTTTAATATTAATTTACAATATGGTCACCCAACACTTAACAACAGCCTCTACCTCAAGAGGTAGAGGAGCCAAATGGCTGGCTCACTGCTGCCAACTAGTGGTCAGAGGCTGAACTACAACATAAAAATGAATGACTGGCAGGAAAGTTGACATTTTAAACCTTAAAAAACATCGATACAGGGCTTTAGAATATCGATACAGTATCGGGAAATGAAATATCGCGATATTTTAGTGTACCGATATTTTCTTACACCCCTAGGATACAGGTTAGCGATAGTGAGCCTCACCCTGATGGCAGCCTTGTTGCAGAACACACGGTTGATGGCCAGCCAGGTGGGCAGGTCCAGCAGACTCTGGAGAACCTCCTCATCCAGCTCCAGGTTGGTGAGCTGGCCCTCCCCCTTCAGTGTGCTCAGGTTGATCTTGTCCGGCGACAGGTTCTTAGCAAACCTAGAGCAATGAGGCAGAGCAAAGCGTTGATGCTGAGGATATTTACAGATGGAAGTTGTTGGCYAACAAGCACCACTGTGACACRYTTCTTGTTTTTCAGTTTGCAAAATGCACACATTTTATTTCTAAACACGACTTTAAAAAGAGTTACAGGTTGTTACAGTGTGTCCAAATAGCATCAAGCTGCAGGTTTCTTTAAAGAAACTCCTTGAATAAGAATTAGAATAATAAAGGGAGGATTATTCTCTGGCGCTAAAGTCATTTTAAGGCAAATTGCAACACAAAACTGATTTCCTCATTTGTATTTGACCAAATAAGTTTAAATCTTAAAAAGCCTCCTCACCTTACATAGCTGATTTAAACACAAAAAAGAAAAGAGCAGGGTCTGGTCCAACACTAACAGACAAGCTGTTTATAAAATGCATGTAGCAAAGATAAAGTACCCGAGTCTTACGACACATCATAGAAAAAGTGTGCAAACTCATTTTAGTAAAAGTCAATATTTATTTTTATATCCTTGAAATGACATGCGGGGATTATGTTTGTTTTTTTCCTGTTCGTCCTCAATAAAAAAGACTTAAATACACAAAGTTAATGCTAGCTAACGACTTAAGTGTTTACTGCATCCAATAACTGTTTGACTATTAGTTAACAGTTAACAGAGCGGCTACATAAATGACTTATTGACCCTTGAATCTTTACAAAGCGGTGTTCTGAAATCTCTTTGCAAAAGAGAGATTTTACTTCCTTTACCAGCCAATTCTGTCTCAAGAACTGGTTGTTGGGTGGTCTCTTTCCAATTTTAAAATTAGTGGTTTCATCTGCAGCAGTTTAATGTGCTGATGTATCCGCCAGGAGACACTGAACCTAAATTTAAAATCCATCCATCATCTTAACCACTTTTTTTCCATTTCCGAGTCAAAGTGGTTGCTGGTGCCAATCTCCAGCAGCCACTGTGCAGAAGGCAGGGCACACCCTGGACGAGTTACAGTGCCTCTTACTGAAGAGCAACAGCTCTAACTGTCCCACCCTAAATTTCAAATGCGCACTATAAATTTTCATGATTGTGATCTTTCAGCAATTCTCAAAAGATGCTGAAAACAATGCCTCGACTCTATCAAAACAACACAAGACTTCAATTACTGTCAGGACAGTTAAAGTTATGATGGAACATAAAGTGCACATAAACTTACATTGTCGACTACTGTGTAAAAGGAAAAAAGCTGAATTTAGACCTACTATTAGTGCCTGTAAAACTGTATCGAAATAAAAGTTACAAGTTTGAGGAAACATATTGAGGCTCAAAAAAATCAAAAGCTACAGCCTAGTAATATTGCTCAGTGAGCACAGTTTTTTTTAATTGTTTTAAATATTTCAATCTCTCTAATTTGTCCTCCACACCATCCGCTCAGCACCACCTCCATGCTGTTACTTCTCCGATTCAACATTTGTGTAAATAATTCAGCAGCAGATGCTTGTTTGTCTTTGTGTCTATGGTGTAATAATAATGATGTRATTGTGATGCTGTAATTCTGAGTGTTTTGTGTGCTGCAGAACAGGAACCTGCTGTAAAACAGCAATTATGCCGAGTCAGGCTTGATTTTTAATAATCTTTTCCTGTTAAATAAATAAATCAAAAATCAAATCAAACAAAACCTCAACACAAGAGAATGAGAGAAAATACATACCTAGAAACACAACACACACATAATAAACACACACGGAATAAAACATTCTCAGACAGAAACGTGGTCAGTTTGACATCGAGGATTTCGCTGCAGGAGTGCCTCAACCTTTCTGACAAGTGAAATATTCATTCCGGCTGCTGATCAAGTATCAACAACCTAGCCGGCTAGTTTAGCTTGCTCTGTTGCTCCTTGGCATCTCATTGGTCACCTCTTTCTTCTAACTCTATGAATAAATCAATGTTGTAAACAAATAAAATGCTGTTAAACAGCTGCAATAATACTGCTGCCAGTAAACTTTAAAGCATAAAGAAACTACATTACACAGGCTGACCTTCAGCACAGAGTACAACAGTTACAGGTATTAAGTTCTCTCTCAGTCATATTCCCCTTTATTCTCTCTTTAGTGACTCCAGTCATTTTTCCAGTCAGCAGGGCTGAGCTCACCGGACCAAATCCAGGTCCATGAAGAGGTTAGGAAACTGATGGGTGTTTTTCTGCCTCTCAAAAGGAATGTAAAACCTTTAACAAAAGCTTATTTTTTAAATTTGTTACTAACATAACGTATCACATTGTGCCKATAAAGTACACAAACTATCAATTCATTGCTATTTTTATACACTAATAACTTGAGCTGTGTCCACATCCTGACTTTAACCTTTGTTTATCGACTACCAAACTGAAACTAGATACAAATACATCTTTACTGACTTGGATCTGTATCAAGGACAAAAAATCTTGAAGGGGAGATCCCTAGCTCCAGGCAACAATATGAAACTGTGTCAGTCAACACACTTCCTTTTAGTATGTGAAACCTGATGATTGYTAGCAGGCATTTGTTTTGAATAAAACAAGGCTGTTGGGGAAACGTAAAGGTTAAAAAAGTGAGCATATCTGTAATCTGACTGTTCCAGGTGGTTCTGGGTCATTTTTTAAGTTGCAGATACAAGGTTGGGTGGGYGCAGGTGAATGCTGGTTTGCAAAACTTTAGGCTTAGCATTTGATTTTTCCAAAGACAAATTAGCAATATAARCTCATTTTCTGTTAGAATGAAAACCTTTATATCAGCTCACCATAGAGAATTTTCTTTAAAAAAGCACCACAATTCCTGCTATTAAGAGAGTTTTGCATTAGTTTTTTAGTTTTGTCACATTCAATGGAATGATGTTTCACATTGTGAGTAAGCCTAAATTTCTCTTCCAAGTACACATCTAGTGCTGACTTTGGATTGCCATATTTTATGCTAACGTCTGTGTTTTTACTGAATGGAAATTCACCTTCTCCCTGATGATGYGTGTGAGGTGCAGCCTGATGACACAGATGCTAAATGGTGTTTAGCCTCAAAGAAAATAGCTGGAGTGACTCAGACAACAACTGGCTTAGTTAGCGGCCCAGGAGGCAAAAATAAAATACAAGTATTATTTAAAAAAATGTACAACAAACATGTTCAGGGCATCTCGCTTTTACAAATGAAGTTTTCACGAAAAAYCTATGTAACCCACAAAGTTTGCTCAATGAAAAAAAATCAACAATGACATTTACAATGCGCCTCTGAGTTCTTCATATTTAGTATCAACAGAGTGTATTGAACGGCTGAACAAAGAGCCTCACAGATTCTTTCACTGAGGCCATTATTCCTCTACAAATACTGAGGCAGTTGATGAAATTAGAGAGGAGTTTTGTGGCAAGTGGGACTCACCAAGAGCATTCTAAAAACTGCATAAYGTTCACCCAGCAAGGCAGAGAATTCATTACAAACAATGCCTTGGTGTAGCTCCAAATTTATCTGAATATTCATTTTAAAAAGGGTTCAGGTGAAGCTGTAACGTGAGAGTTGTTGCTCATTGTTGAGGTCTTCTACCCTTTACTTACTCAGACCAATCAAATCAATTTTTAAAAAGAGACTTAAAGGAATTACTGAAATTATTTTCTAGCATTCGGCAACAAAACACCTCTAAATATAGACAGCAACACCAACTGTTGGTTAACTTTGCTTCTTTTGGTCATTTATAACCTCAAATTTGATGCCTGAGAGCCTAGAGGGGATTCCTATATAAAGCTCAGGTTACATAGTTAAATGAGATAAAGTCTGGAGGGACGAGGGCCAAATGTGACACACACAACCTACACACAAGTAGTTCACAGCTCAGTGCTGATTAAACACCCACAGCACAGCACTCGGTCATGACTCATGCAATAACAGCTTCCCCGGCAGCCGAGCCAATAGTGGCGCTGATCACTGCTTTGCATCGTCACATGGCTACTGAAGAACCATTAGACTCATGATGAGAAACGTGAGCGGAGGATCGTTTCTCATATTTTGAGGGGAAACTAAAGCTCCAGCAGTGACAAATGAACACCTTTGATTGTCAAACATTTTCTTGTGCCCAGTCACCATTGAGAATGTGGTGGACTAAATTACTCCCTTCTTCCGAGTTTTTGAATCAAAATGGAAAAACTGTTTAGCTTACTGCTGAATTTAAATGTTACACAGTCAATGTTAATTCTGAGAAAATAAAATACAGTAAAATATATTAATGAAGCCATTCGTTTTCCTCAGAGATTCTTATCGGGATGTTACTGGTTCTCACATATCAGTCCGACTACAAACTTAATCCCTTGGGTCAAGAACTTGTTCCAAGAAGGTCAGAGATAAGCTTTATAGTCTTGGCTCGTTTTGTGTAGAAATTCACCCTTTTTTGTGCAACTTTCTGCTCATGGATCAAGATTCCTGCACACCCATGCAACTTTGACACGAATCATGATCCGGAGACATTAATAGGCCAACCTTAATCTCTGCAATAATGATATAATCCATCCATTTTCTCTACCCGCTTCCTTTTGGGTGTCGGGGAGCTGGTGTATATATGCTGCAGTTAGTGAGCGAGAGGCAGGGTACACCCCAGACAGGGCAAAGTCCATCACAGGGACATATAGAGACAAACAATTGGTCACGCTCTCGCACACGTAGGACAATTTAAATGGTAAAATGGTAAATGGACTGAACTTATAGAGCGCTTTTCAAGTCCCTCCGGACCCCAAAGCACTTTACACTAACAGACATTCACCCATTCACACACTGATGATGGCAAACTACACTGTAGCCACAGCTGCCCTGGGGCGCACTGACAGAGGTGGGGCTGCCATGCACCGGCGCCACCGGACCCTCTGACCACCATCAGTAGGCAAGGTGGGTGAAGTGTCTTGCCCAAGGAAACAACGACTGAGATGGCTGGACGGGAGATCGAACCAACGAGCTTCCAGTTCCAGGACGACTCCCCAAACCACTCCGCCACAGCCGCCTCCAAGAGCATT